AAATACCACAGGTGTGAATTTCACAGTTACCACTAGAAGAAACATGGTTACAGGTAAGCAACCTTACTTTTCCCCAGCACCTCACTGCACCCTCCATTCACACTCAGGAAGGGAAAGAGAGAGGGGCTCTGTGCCAGATTAGTTTTCTAGGCAGGCAGGCAAGCATAAGGCACAGGGCTGCACTGAAGTAGAGAGTGAAGGAGACTCCATTCACTGTTAAGTTTATAGCAATTAGCTTACTGTAGCTGAGGATGGCTCTTTTGCTGGGGAAAGAGGAGGAGAGGAAAGCTTTACACGCTGTATAGACACTGAGACAGGCACTGGCAGGTAGGTGCTTGCTTATTCTTTTGGGGGGGGGGGACCTTTTGCCTTACAACTTATATTGCTGCTTCATTTTAAGGAATCTCTGAGGGTTACTGCCAGGGCTACATTACTCTCTGTGTGCTGTGTGTGCATACATCCACCCAGCCACAGCTTACCTTGGCAGCATTTTCTAGTGTTAGTATGATCTCTGTGCGCATAATAAAGCAAAAAAGCACACAACCTGTTGTTAATGCTGATGCAAGTTGCTTTAGCAGCATTTTCTAGTGCTGGTATGATTTCTGTGTGCATAATCCAGCAAAAAAGAACACAACCACTTGTTTGACTCTGGCCCCAATTGCCTTAGCTGCTTTTTCTAGCGCTAGCATGATCTATGTGTGCATAACACAGCAAAAAAGAACACAGCCTGTTATTTAACTCTGGCATAAGTTGCCTTAGCTGCTTTTAATAGAGCCAGTGTGGTATGCCCCACCAGAGGAGGAAGTGGAGGGGAAGAGGGAAAGGGCAGGAGCCGGGTCCTGTCCAGAGCCTAATTTAGTTTGACAAACGTTCTGAAACTTAATGGGTTTGCTTGCAGTGCTAAATGTGTCGGGTCCTCCAAGTGTGTCCACAACCCCACCCCACCCCACCATTTCACTGCTCATCTGTTCAAAAAGACTAATTGTAGCACCATGGCAGAAAGAGGAGTCAGTACTCCTTTTAGGGTTTTCCCTTTTACCAGTATACTTAATTTTCTCTAAGATTTAAGGTACAGTACTCACACTAACCTGTAGGTAAGTCGACTTACATTTTTTGAGTTAATCTTTTGACTAACATTTTTGCCTCTATACACTAGTATGTGTGTCTCCTTCTCATTCCCCAAAAATGTCTAAACAGAAGACCTATTGTGACAAAACCAAAAATGTCTTGGCCATTCCAATCATTAAAGTTTTGGGGCTAATGTTTATCAGTATAAATTATTAATGTATATATTTTTAAGTAATTTATAAGTAGCATCCAAAAAACTTACAAAAACAATAGTAGCAGCAAGTCATATTCCAAGAAGTTTGATGAACAAGACTATCAATGGAGTTGCCTATACCAGCAAAATAATCAACTGCGGTTCAGACTATTCTTCTATGGAGCTAGCCCAGATTCTCCTCCCACATAGTGCCAAACCGACTTGTAAAACACAGCACTAATATTGTGTTGATGGCCACACATTTACTCTACCAATATTCAGATCGAAATCACCTTTTTTTGCTCCTCCTCCTCCTGAGGCTGCCAAATCCAATTATGAATGAGACCAGTGGTGAGGAGGTACATTGGGCACTTTTGTTCTCACCTCAGAACAAGTGAATTCACAAACATGGTTGTGCCAGGCAAGTGACTGATAGATATGGCAAAGCCAGTACTTTGGCAGCCCCAAGGAGAAAGACACAGTTTAGTTTTCTTTTTCAACAGTGAGGGCCCTAATTACACTTGCCTGATCCAATTTGAAAAAAGCAATGTTTTTTTTTTCCTGGAAACCATGGAGGAAAAAGTGACTTCTTAAAAAATAATATTTATGAAAGACTGAATGAAATTATTTTCGCTGTTACAATGGCCCTGGAATAGAGGTGGGTATGGATTTTTTATTATCATTTCTTGAGGTAGAAAACTCTCATTTATTATTATAACATTATGATGTGATTATTATTATTATTATTAAGATAAAAGATAATCACATAATCTGTGTTACAAGAACTAAAATACACAACACTAAAAAATAAAAACAATAATAACATGTTTACAATTTAAAGCTATATCACAGAAATACAACACTACACTGCTCAATTCAGTTAAGAAAGTATTTTAAACCTCATCCTACTTTATAGATAACACATTTGTCAAAGTAAAATGCTAAACCAAAAAGCTGCAGTGCTCACTTTTGCATGAAATTTGCAGTACACTGCTTTTCCGCCAGCATTCACTAGCTTGAAAGTATGTGATCCATAGCCATTCATGTGACGATGTCCATCTGGAATACCACGGTCACTGAACAGAAAGGATACCTATAAAGCAACAGCAACAACAAGAACTTTTAAAAAAACATTTCATGAAGATCACCTTTCATAAAATTCAAATAACTAAACGTAGGAGCTTAGGTATGACAGACAAGTGCATTTAAAGCTTTCTTATGCAGTTATTATTTTTCCCATTTTGCTCATTGGCTAGAACTGTTTCTTTCTTTTCAGGATATTCTTTAGAGATTGGAAACAGATGAGTCATGGACTCTAGTAGATTTTTATTTTCTTCTCGGTACTACCAACATATATATCTAAATATATTTCATTCTGATCACAATAGCCTCCTAAACTTTACTTTGTCCCAATAGTGCAATATCCCATTTTCACCTTTTTTCATCTATTCCATAAGAGGGGACAAGATAGTTGTGTACTTGATAAGCAACGCTCCTTCCTTTCAACACAGAAGATTAAATAAGACAGAAATATTACTTTTTGTGGATTATCAGAGAATTCAAATGTGTGGATGGGAGCAACTATAGTATCTGATATAAGCAACTTAGACGATGAAACTCTCCCTCCAGGGGACTCTTTCCAAGCTACCCAATAAAACATTTAAACCAAGTTTAGAAAGCATTGCAATTTATATTTAAGGGTGTCTTTTAAATCTGGAGAATGATTTTTAAAATAAGTATTAGTTTTCCTCTGTTATGTCATGCTACTGCTTTTACCAGTTTTAGGAGGAAAATTTGTTTTTTATTTCATAAAAAGTAACTTAGAAGCATGCTTGACAGAAAACAGAAGGATCTATCATTAAAAAAATACCACTATATATACTTGTGAATAAGTCAATCCTATGTATAATTAGAGGCAGTTATTGGGGCAAAAATTATGAATTTTGATATGACCTGCAGATAAGTCAAGGGGTACTCTGTGAATGGAGGAAGAACCTGGCGCTGCCATGTTCTTGCTCAGGCATTCAGGAAGATCTAGTATATTGATATTACTTCTGTTGTTTCTCCAATAAAAAGCAGGAGGGAAGGAAGGTATATACTCTCCTTTTTCTCTGAGCTATTTGTGGTTTGTAGGGAAAATGAGGGGGGAGCAAACAGACATTTAAGAAAAACATAGATCTTACCTGGTGCAGAGACTCAGGGCGGAGACTCCAAAAGTCCCACACCATGTCTGGATCTTTCAGATGAGTCTGTGGATTCCTTTTTTGGCTATGGATAAACGATGGGAACTGATAAAAACAAAATGCAAAGATATAATTCATTACTGTGTACTTAAGAGTTATATCCATTAGATCTGTACTAAATTCCATTATATTTGTATTAAAATCAGTCTGAAATTATGTATCAGTAAATCAAAATCCATAAAACTGATTTTCATCTACCAAAAAGTGAGATAATAGAATCACATTGCTTATGCTATCCTTAATCATGTGTATAATATGGAGATACTATTCAATTCAGCATTATTGTTGGATTACTAGATAACTTTTTCTTATCCTTTAGTACTAGTCAGTAGTCACTATCTATATTGTCTCAGCCTCAGTTCCTAGAGCTCAGCAAAAAGGAGCCCAGCTAACAGGCGTTTTATGTGCATGGTGGAAGAGACAGCATGGGATGAGCATGGATAACCCCCCACCCCCACCCCAGCCCCAAAATCCTTTGGGAGATTCTGTTGGGTCAAGTGTGAGATGAGTAGAAGCTTGCTTGTGTGCTTGATAGTGCGCTACTGTTATTTTGTGTATATGCCCTCAGCACATTGTCTATGGGGGAGTGAGTCATCTGCTTAGAGGAAGTAAGTCAGAGACTTGGTTAGAGGAGGAGCCAGCAGCCACCACTCTCTATATAGCTGCATGCCTGGTCTCTGGAGTTACGAAAACAGAAGATCAGCTAACAGGTCAGTACAATAGATATTTTGCATTAGTTTTCATTGGGGATGTTTTGAAGCATTCATTCTCAGATAATATGTAGGTGACCTTGGAAGAATCACTACATAAAATGGTCCCTGCCAATCCCCAGAAGAGATGTATGGCAGTAATAGGGGTTCCCTGTTGAAGGAAACAAAAGCAGTGGTTTGCAAGCTTCTTAAGAAGCAAAATCCATGACACAGAGAAGATGGCAAGACACATCAAGCCCACCGAGAGTTACCCTTTCATTTGAGTCCATGAAAGACTCAATGAGACAAGAAATTAAGAAGCTCTGGGTAAGAAGCTAAAGAACTTTGATGCACAGGTTGTCATTTGTCTCTCCTGCTAACTGAAGGATATGACCCAGAAAGTGAGAGAAGAAGAGTGGAAGTGAACAACTGGATCTGCAGATAGTCCAATTAAGTGCCACTGAATGTACTGAGTTGTATATGGACATTGCAAAATCAAATCTATCTCCATGTTCAAATCAAACAAACACAAAACCTTGATGTTGGAAGATTGTGCCCTCAGCCCAGGACTGGCTGCTTGGAACAATATTTTAAACATCGTTTTAGAAAATCAGCCTTATGGGAAGAAAGTTAGACATTTGGGAAGAAGGAAAACAAATGTTCTATGCTTCATACATTTCTTCACAACTCATGCTTCAGAGAAACGAATGCCATAATCTAACATACCAGCATTGCATCTCTAATAAAGAAGATGGGAGTGTTGTTTCCTACAAGGTCCCAGTTGCCCTCTTCTGTATAGAACTTCATTGCAAAGCCTCGAGGATCACGAACTGTGTCAGCTGAACCTGCTTCACCAGCTATAAAACAAAGGTTTACATTGACACTGAAAACTGCATACAATCCCAAAATTATCTAAAAGAAATTGTTGTCAAACTTTCACCTCAGTTTTATTGGTCCCTATATGCAAGGGATTGAACTGATACCATTCAAGTTCTAACCAAGTATATCTCAATTACCCTAGGAACAGATTTTTAAAAATTCAGTCATTCTTTTTTTCACTTCATTGCTTTCCCACCTTGTTAACACTGCCTTAACAATCCCTAAACTTAAAGAGCATTTCTGCTGATTACTGCTATTGTAGGAAGAACTGAATAGAGGGAGAACAGGCACAATCTCTTATATTGGTTTACTGAGGACTATATTTAAACTACAACACAAGAAGGACTCTAACCCAGAAAGTGCACCAACGTAAGGAATGACTCTCATACAAATTATCTGGTACTTACAAGTTATAAACTAAAATTTCCATATACCGTATTTCTACTGAATTATTTTTCACAACATCATAATTACACAGAATAATAATAAGCAACATATATCAGGAAAAAAACAGTGAAAATATACAGTGAAAGTATAATGGACACTTATTATTTACAGTTAAGTGGTTTTATTTTTTGGTTTGATAAACTCCAAATACAGTTAGCCCTTTACATTCATGTAGGTTGGGGACACAGAGCCCCTGAATAACTGTATCTTTTCCCAAGCTGCCAAACACACTCTATAGACTCTTTGAACATAATCAATCAGAAGTATCAGTGGAAGGCAGATACAAATAAAAAACAATAAAAAACAATAAAAAAATTGAAAAAGTCTTACCAACGGTAGAAAATCGAATGGCGACGAGAGTTTTTTTACCAATGTGCTCAAACACTTTTGCTTTGCAATATTTGGTGATATCGTGAGTCACTTCAAAATACCCAAAAGCACCTGAAATTTAAAAAAATACCTTCCTGTAGAAACAAAGTCTAAAAATCAAGAACTTTTAGCATATCAAATAAAATAACTAAAATATAGAATAAAGAAATTGCAGTAACAATTGATTTAACCATTAATTTTGTTTGTGTCTGTTTGATAAGAAACTGTCTTGTTTTAATAAGAAAATGCCATTTAACATCTCATTACCTAAAACATATATATTTGAAGTTTCCTTTCAAATATATATGTTTTATTTCTATCTCATCCTGAGTTTTTATCGTTGTATCTTGCACATGTTGCCGGATCATTGTGATGGTGTTTGATTTTTTATTGTATTACTTTGCACTGTTTATTGTATTATATGCTTGATTTATTTATTTTATTTTATTGGTGATTTTTGTTTTATGCTTTTTATGTTACTGTATTGTAATACACTTAGGGGTTGGCCCCATGTAAGCCGCACCGAGTCCCCCTTGGGGAGATGGTGGCGGGGTATAAATAAAGATTATTATTATTATTATTATTATTATTATTATTATTATTAATCTCAATCAATGTCTGCTTTAAAATAGCCCAAAGGCTTCCAATCCCGCAATAGGATATTCCATTTGAACATTTTAAAAATTAAAATCAAAAGAATTAGAATTCACAATTCTTTGGCCTCTAGCTACACTAAATGTTTTTCACACACATGGGTAATTCATATATAATAGTAATAATGTGTAAGGGATGGCATGTGTTTTTTAAATTTAAATTTAAAATCCTAAATAAAAATATCAAAGAGGTAAAAGTGCAGTGAATACCATCTCAGACAATAAATAAGAGGGGCTTATTGCTAAGAATAGCTAGAGTTTCTTTTAAGTTCAAGAAAATACTATACATAGTTTTTCAACTGTACTATTCATAGGCTAGTAAAAAAGGCAGAATTAAAATAAAAAAAATTCTACACACTAAGGCATGATTCCTAAAAGTAGTTCAGAAATGTTATAAGAGTACAGGAAACCATAAAATACTTTATTTGATCCAACTTAAAATCTTTCCACTGACCGTGGGAGACAGAAATTCACAGAACCCTTTTTATTTTCTTGTTCCATCTGTACAGTATGTAAAACTATGTACTCCAGAATTCTGTAAATAGTTCACAATATTAGATACTGTATGTTTTACAGGAAATATAGCACACTGTCTCTAACACTCACCTGCTCCTTTGGCATGAACAACTCTTTCAGGAATCCTCTCTCGGTCAAAATGTGCCATCTCATCAGTAAAAACCACATCCTGAACCAAGAGGGGACCTCGTGGACCCACAGTCATGACATTCAGCTTGTCTCCCACTGGGATTCCTGCTCCCGTGGTCAAAGTATCAGCTTTCTAGAGTCAAGGGGGAAATCAAAATTAAAACAATGAGAAGTACATGTAGTGGTCAAAAATGTTCAGTATCTTAGTGAAAGCAATCACATTAAACTAAGAGACACCTGAGGTAATTATGCTCCTGAATCTACAGGAAACACTGTTCCTTGCTTAAGATCAGGCATGGACAAACTTCAGTCCTCCAGGTGTTTTGGACTTCAACTCCCACAATACCTGGAGGGCTGAAGTTTGCCCATGTCTGCTTTAGATCCTAATATTTCATAGGAGGAATTCTGTTAAATGAGATTATTTTCACCCTAAGGACCCACCTTAGAAGAGTATTTTTTTGCGTAAATTGAGTTATCACTTACAAACAGAATCATTATTTAATAAATTTTCAGACATAAAGAATTGAAGAGTCACATGAAACTGTACCTCTAAACCTTCTGTATCATTGGATTTAGAAACTGTATTGAAATTAAGTACTTAACAATGTTTATGGCTTCCCTTCAAGATTTCAAGCAAACTTCAATAAAACAAACTGTTCACTTTACCCACTTTAAGAACAAATTAATCACTACGGAATGAGGATAATTAAATTTCCTATATTTTAAATAATGTAGAATATACCAATATTTACGCCTATAGCTAAAGGGCAATTGTCCTAGTTCTATCCTATATTGCAGCATATATAGTCTTTTGACTATTTTCAACATTGCTAAAATGTCATCTTGTGCAAAATATAAATTACTGACAGTCCTAAGAATTTTCAACTGCAGTGCTGTTGTTGTTATTCCATCCCAACAGCTAATACTTAGGATACCTAGGATACATACATATATAAAAAGTTCAGAAGAAGGATACCAAAGCAGTCAATGCAATGAGTGTAATGAACATAGGAATGGAACAATGGATGACGGATCTGGATCATGTTTTTAGTGATGAAACGCTAGTGAATGGTTATTGTTGTTAATTGTATATTATTGTATAATGTGTTATGATGTTAACTGTTTTTTATACCGTGTTATTGTAGCATTGAATTTTTGCTGTTCTTGTTGTTAACCGCTGTGAGTCGCCTAAGGGCTGAGAACAGCGGTATACAAATAAAGTAAATAAATAAATAATAAATAAATTGATTCATTTCTAAATGTAAAGTTTTTCAATATTATGCTCAGAAAATGCACATGTTTTCAAAGGGATTTAGAGACATGGCTATTTATAGCTGCATTTCTTAATTAATCTGAGATTGGTTCAGATACTTACATTATATTTTACGTGCTACTGCTTTTTTTTAGGGATGTTTCCTTGAAGTTTTTAATATTAATTTATATTCTGTAATCATATGTTATTATGAAATTATTATAATCATTATTTCGTGTCAACCACCAGAGACCTGTGCAGCACCAAAAGGAGCCATACTAATAAATAAATAATGCAATTCTGTGACAGTGTGTGTAACCCAAATCGCACTGTAGAAAAGTACAGAATATGGCATTAGAATATGCACAAAGGCTGGAATTCAGGTCTAACAAAGATATTCCCTTTATCACTGTGGATTAAACCAGTTGTTTTATGAAATGGCAATTCTTACTTAAAGTGTAACTAATATCAAGGTCACAAAAAGCAAAATAAATAGCATAGCTACAGTGGGGTCTTCAGCATCCTTAGCATTCATTTAACCAATAAATCAATAAAGTGCTGAACTTCATTTCAGATCTACTTCTTCACAAAGGTCTTTGGATACGTTTGCAAAGTATCAATTTCTGTTGTAGGAGATTCATATCCATTTCTGAACCATTACACTGTTGTTGTCTTCATAAAGGAAATATAGTGGACTCTTGGTATCTGCAGGAATTGCCCATCCCAACCTGTGGACATCAAAATGTGTGAATGCTCAAGTCCCATTATAAAATAGTTTCCCTTACATAAAATGGCAAAATCAAGGTTCACTTTTTGACTTCTTTAATAATATTTCCAAATTGAGGATGGTGAAATCTGTGGATACAGAGAACAACCTATATATCCTTTTCTGAAGGAATTAAAAGAGAAAGAAGGACAACAATCAAAGATGACAATGGGAATAATCTATAACTACACCCTGCTTTGCATATAGAAGCAAGTATATTTTACATGACATAATCAGAAAGTAGGATCTGTGCTTTCTGTGTGGAAAACAAATACGTACAGAGCCATTATTCTAAACTGTCCTGAATGTTATTTCCAAATTCCTGAAACCAAGCGATACAATTAGTTACAACTACACAGCAGATGTGATGCTTGGCCCTTGTTCAGTCTTCTGGTATCTCCTGTTTCAATCACAAATAACTGTGAACGGCAATAACGGATCCTTTTGTATTATTTTATCTGTAAATGAGATGAAGGACTAAAATGGCAGGTACAAGGGGTATTAGGCAATGTAATTGGGAGAGAGTCAGGTTATAACTTGCCTCTTGACCCATGGCAATAATCCTTTTTGGAAGGGGGTCACAAGTAATGTGACCTACAACAAGTTAACAAAACAAAATCAAGCAAGAAAGTTACACCAAAGACATAATGAAATTACATTTCCAAAGTAATATCATTGAGTGGGGATATAGCTGCTATATTGGCACAGTGAGTAATGTTTTCTATTGTTTCTTTGTTTTTAAAAAAACATTTTTGGAAATTTTTGACACTGTTTTTCAAACTCTATGTTATCCTCCCATAAACTGGAAGCTTTAGAAAAGATTTTATATATAATTAACTACACAATGAATTGCTTACAAATGAAAAAAATATTTTCTTAATTATTCTGCCTTGATATTCTGGGTTATATGGCTGTGTAGAAGGACCCAAAGTCACTGGGTTACTTCACACCTATTTAAAGTTAGTTCTTCATTGCAAGCACACACAGCCTGAAAGTTCAAGATATTAAGTACAGAAATAACATGGCCTTCAGCTTCCCAAACATAAGTTTAATGCAGATTTTGGTAGGTCCTATTATGACTTCCAAAATGATCAAGTTATGCTTACATAGAAAGGATGTTTTCCCAGTTCAAGTATGAAGTGATCTTTGAACACTTTAAATACTTTGCCCAGTTCATCTTTTTACATGGTGCATCAAGGAATATGAATAACTGGCCAATTTGTACGCTTTTCCCAGCCTGCATAAAACTTCCAAATGTTGGTTGATCAACATGTAGCTGAATTTCTCTTACACTTACACCAAATAATTTGAACTGGCCATTTCCTCTTTGGGCACTGAGATTGTCTTTCTCCTGGTAAAGAAATAAACTTCTGAAAAAGAGCTAAACGGACACATGAGTCACCCTTTAAGGACACTGGTGATCTTCCTGTATTCAAAGTTACCCTAGGACAGTGCTGGCAAACCTATGGTACGTGTGCCAAAAAGGACATGCAGCATCCTTTCTTCTGGCATGCACGCAGCCCTCCACTAGCAATCCTGCTGCCTGCCTGCTTACCCACCCAGTTTGAGCACTCAGTCTCTAAAATATTTGCCATCACTGCCCTAGGAGATCACAGGAGAGTCTTGTGGTGTAATTTTCTCCAGTTTACATGAACTCATCATCTGCATGTTACAATCATCACTATTGTTTCAAAAAAGCTTTATAATTTACTACTTTATGCTTGTGAAGGATGGACATTGTTTAAAAGGACTAGAATGTCATAAGATTCAGATAAGAACAATGGTCTTAGTAATATTCGGTATGGCAGAAATGGTGAAGCAGTACACAATTTATAAAATGAACTGCAAAATAAGTTGTACTCAGATACATAAAACCTAGGGAAACAATTCTTTTCACTTTAAGATGCCCCCACCCACATTTTTACCAATTTTAACAGATATTCAAGAGATACTCAAGACTGTCAAAAAAGTACTGACTGAGACAAGTGGGAAAATTCTCCAAGATTTTGGTGAGTGAAATCAGGGAGGTTTGATTGCCAAGCATCACAAGATAATGCAATCAGTCAAAACACTTTCCTCTTGCAAATAGCATGCAATAAATTCACCAATACAAAAACCAGTGTCCTGAATAACAGGAAACACTAGGGAAATGGGGAGAGGAAGTGTGGTTATGAAGCGCTACATTAGTGTATTTTTCTTTACTCGGTAAGGTCAACTTGAATTGAGAATATGAGTTCTTTAAATTTACTAGAAAGCAACTTTATAAATCCTGTTATAAATCTATACACACAATCTATACACATAATATGTATGTGTGTATGTGGCTGGGGTGTCCACTTACATAGACAAGCTCCTGCCTCCACAAACAGCTATAGATCGCTTTACCCAGGAGACACCAAAAGCCTTCCCTCTAATGACATTGCAGGTTATAGCGAGTGCCATGAACATGTACAAGAGCACTGCCAATGCCCTCCACAAACACAGTACTGCCCACCACCCACATGAAGTCTTTCATACAGAAAAAATCTCACAATGTTATAAAAATGCATCCAACAAATGTTGGAAGTGTGAACAACAAGTCGGTACATTTTTCCACACTTGGTGGACCTGCCCTATAGCAAAAGGTTTTTTGGAATATTATCCAAAAAGATATCCAAATGATTTTTAAAATACAAATAAAAAAGAACCTGTTAGGATTGTGTGATTTTGAAGGAGAAATAAACAAAGAAATACTATTTATGTGCTAAACTATGGCAGCTAGATTGTATTTGCAAAGAAGTGGTGAATGAAATAAGCACCCCAAAGAGAAGAATTATGGAATTATGGAAATAACGAGTATGGACAAACTTACATATTGGTTAACATCAAACCAAGGAACACCAAAGAAATGCCAAATTGGGACCCAGTAAAAGACTACTTTAGACAATGGAAAATAGAGATCATTATATAAAAAGAGTAAACCATAAATGAAGAAGAAATACCAGGAGGGGTAAAACATTCTGACAATACAGAAAAAGACACTAAAGACCAACAAAGACCAGATGGAAGTCAACAATTCCCCCCCCCCTTTTAAATATATATATATATATATATATATATATATATACACACATTT